TTGTAGTGTGAAATACAAGAAACAACTCGAGTTTGTGAAGAAACACTTAAGTTGAGAGCATTCAAATGATATAACTCTTGTGTCAAACAAGAATTTTTGAAAGGTGATCCAATATGCAAAAATGGTGGTGAGGCTTGGTAGAACCGAAACAAAGGAAAACTTGTTCCTACTTAGGATTAACAATTTTGTATTTTCAAAACTTTATCAAATGGATCTTATAAGCTCAAACATTAAACAACACACTCTTACCAATAACACGAAACACAACACACTTAAAAACATATTACAACTAAATGTAAATAACTTATATTATATCAATTATACCACCACAACTCATGCAGACTTACACTATCAGCAAGCACGAAATATGGAAAGTAATTGTCTTGAACATTAAATGAGGAAATGACCTGGAACTACTCAAAGGGACATAACATAAAATGATTTGCTTCTTATGAAATACAATAAATTCAAAGATTGGTTTATTTTGTAGAACAATAAGTTTGAATACTTATTTATTTTGTTACCTTAAGTATTTATTGTATTTGTTTACAGTGCACGAGTATTTTTTGTTTCCACTCTTAGACTGTCATGAAAAGTTTAAATAAAAGCATGTTTCCACGTATATGATTAATACTAAGTTTATTAAACATATAAATACACGAATACAAGCAAAAGAAATTATTCATCATTAATAATTTTTCCATCCACGACTTTCTTTTTTATATCAAAATCAAACAAGGCAGTCCCAAGACTTAGGACAACAACTTGACTCACAACTCTCTTAAAACCATTCTCATAGATCTTAAGAAGACCTTTTTCGATTTCACGAAGCTTGACAATAATCTTGTCTAGCTCGAATTGAATCATAGCCTTCTTCTCAATTGCCTCTTGTTCCTCCATCTCGATAAAATGACACTAAGCCTTGTCCTACTTATCAAGGATCTCGTTAGCTTCTTTATCAGCATATCCTAAGCGATGCTCTAACTCTGTGGCCTCCTTTTCCATATTAGCAACTTTCTAGAAATGAATGTTATTCTCTTTGAAATTTGAAAACAAGGATTTTTTATGATTGGTGATTTTTTCCTTAAGCTTAAATAAGGTTTTTTCAATCTCTTTTACACCATCGTCCTAGCCTTCAACAATTGTAGATTTCTAGAAGAGATGATTGACATATAGTGAGTCATAATAACCTTAATTGAATATAAGCACCCAATAACTCTTGCAACCTTCATCAACTCGACATCAAATGGAAAAGGGAAGGACCCTCGACCTTAACATTATTGTTAGTCATGTTTACATGACATAAAGAGGTCGGTCCTAGTCTATTTGTGGAAACATAACTTACATGATTCAGAGGTCCATATTTACTTCTTAACAAAATCCTTTACTAAGGAGGAGGTCACAGCTTCTTAAGAAGAATGAGAGTCTGCTAGGTCATTATTCCAAGGTTGAACTTGGCAATGATAGTGTTAGTAGGGACAGGCAATGAAAAAGTTTGGTTAACATCTTTAAGGGAGCCTTGATAATAGTTGTTGACAAAGACTTGCTTCTTTTGACAAGGCTTTCAAAGGAGCCTCTATGCACCACAACCTCTATGCATAATTAAAATTAATAGAAGCCTAGAGGAGGAAAATGCTTATCCAAAAATTGGCCTATTTGATCTTCGACAAAAGTAACATAAAGAATATTCTTACTACTAATGGGCGAAGGAAAAGATGAAAGAATTTTATGTTTGCCTTATCTTTTACAAACAAAAAATACATGGTTTGAGATTTAAATTTTATGGAAGTTTGTCAATATAAAGGAAACTAAAGAGTATAATAAGGGAATTGAAATAAAGATTTAGAGGGATTCTCCTTCAAACATCTAACCTTAAAAACCTATTTTTAAAATTATTAAATGAAAATGCATAAATAGAAAACAAATCACCACAATGAGAACCATATAAAGAGATCTAGTCGACCAACTAACCATGTTTTAATTGATAAAAGTACATGAAATTTGTTGCAGTTGGAATCATATGAAACATATCATAGAGAACATGAAATGCTTTCAAAATAACCCAACTATTTGGGTGTAACTAACTAGGGGAAACATTTAAAATGCTTAAACATTTGACACACTCAAAATCAGTAAAAGAAAGAATAACATCTAAATCCTCAAACAAAATATTCATACAAATATGTAAAATCAACACTATCAATAAGAGGTCTCATAAAAAAACACAATCGTGAAACGAGAAAACTTTCATTGTAATCAACCCAACAAAAGATGGTTTACAAACAATAAAACATCTGCAAAAATCTTCAACAACCTCAAGAAAGGGAAACTTGAAGCATAATGATTCACTTCCTCGAGTGGCCATGAGTAATCTAGATTCACAATTCTAGGAAACATATCTCTATGTTTATATTTAGTAGGTTTATCTTGGATGGAAACCTTTGGTTTTTTAGGGTTTATATTATTCTTAATGATATATTTTCTAAAAGATATGATTGAAAATGGTATGCCTCCACTATAGTAGAAGGTGACAATGACACTAGTGCAAGGAAGAAATTTTATAATGGTTATTTTAGACTTTCTGTGTCGATTCAACAACCAACATAAGATTTAGGTTATATAGAAAATATAATATTTTTCGTTGGTTGTTAACTAATTAATATAATAAGTAACTTATTATATCGGTTCTTAACACAATTGTCATATGTAGACCCCAAATCTTACCCGGCTCACTAATAAAGCCGAAGATCACCCGTTTCGAAGATGGTCAAGACTTTATTAAGTCCCTAGCAGCTTGTTCTAGGTTCCATTTAAGATAGGAAGGGTTTTTAGAAGCATTAAAAATCGGGAAATCCACCGGAGATAGCAGATGGTCGTCCAGGACAAGCAGATGGTTGTCCAGGACAGGCAGATGGTCGTCCAGGACAAGCAGATGGTCGTCCATGGCAACTTTAAGGCCATGGACGGCCGTCCACTTAGCTTGGACGGCTTGGACGGCCGTCCATGGCCAAAAGTTGTCATGGACGGCCGTCCACACTACATGGATGGCCGTCCATGGCCACTTTTTGCCATGGACGGTCGTCCACTAAGTTCAGACGGCCCTCGGTAGAGTGACTTTTCTTTATTTTACAGGAGGAGCGTGCTTGTAGAGTGCGGGGACTGCCAAAAAGCGTTCTCAAGTTTTCGAAGAGTTAATATAAAGCTTGCTTCGAAGGTTCCTTCTCTATTCTCTGTCTCTTTTACTGCTTTCTTTATCGCATTCTTTTTATGCATTAGATAATAGGGCCATGTAGACATTTAAATTCTGCAAGTAGATAAAATAATAGGGTAAAAGCATAATTTCTTTAAGTATTTATTTTCTAAGTTAGTCCATCATAGGGAACCCGAAAGGGGCGTTGTGGGGTGCTAACACCTTCCCCATACGTAACTAACTCCCTTACCCGACTCTGGTTGTAATGACCAAAGTTGGTTTTTTTTTTCTAAAAACCACTGTCTTCTTCTTTTTTTACCTTTTTCAGTGTTTAAGGTTAAAACACTAATGGCGAATCCTCGAACCTATTTGAAAACCTCGCCTTTAGGTCCAACCCGGTTATCGGACTGCCTAAAGGCGTTGAACCATTTCTTTCAAAAAACACGAGTCAATCCAAAATCATCGCGTCGCTCTGACCGCCTCTTCTAACGGCGGCGATAGATGGCGACTCCACTTGGGAAGCTAGAGAGTTGATCCCATTTAGTGATGGACTAGTTTAGGAAATAAAAACTAGAAATTACGCTTTTACCCTTTCTTGCTTTTATAACATGATTTACTTTTGGCTTTAATAATTGTTGTATGCTTATTCTCTACAATTGTCTAAAATAAAATGTACACAAACCCTTGCACACTACAGTCCCTCTACACCCGAGGGCAAGAGAGAATACACATAGGGAGTGGGTGGCAGGTACGACCGACCATGGTAATGGCCATAGTGCCAGCAGGTCATTGTCGGAAACCACCACTCAAGGTGATAACCTTCTTTTCTCGGTCTAAGAACGTCGACACGGACATCCGTGCACGGTTCGAAGACTAGGAGATCGAAGGGTCCATATAATGGGGGCACCTTGGGGGCCTGGCCTTGGTGAGAACAGTTAGAACCTACCTTTGCCAATGCACTTTTCTGCAGGAAACCCCTACCTCGTAATTAAACGTCACTCTGTTCGCAGATGAGTGAATTGTTCGTGCATTTGTTTGTTGCATTTGATTGTTGCATAACATAATCATACAACAGCAAAAAAAATATATAAAACAAAATCTCAAAAATATTTTCACAATAAACACCCTTATCTCGGACATTCTGCCTTTTAGCTAGTCTGGTTTCAGGTTCTTTGTAAGCTAAGTAGCCACGCAGTCCGACAGAAGAGATAAGGGATGCTAAAACCTTTCTTTCGCAATAACTATTTTTATCTCGAACAATCTGCCTTTTAGCTAGCCTGGTTTCAGGTTCTTTGTAAGCTAAGTAGTCACGCAATCCGACAGAAGAGATAAAAGGCTAAAAAACAAAAAAGTAAAATAAAAAAATAATAATAACAAAATCAAAACATTTATAAAAAGGATTTTGACAAAGTCGTATCATGCATATCGCATCATGTCATAAGTGGAAAAACCAAGACAAAAAATAAATGCATAAGGAAAGTATGCATACACATCATTTTAATAAATCCCTAAAAAATGGATCTTAGAAGCGTGTTTTGGGAAAATTGCTGGCCCAAATCCCCTTTGGGAATTTGCAACCTTGTTCTTCACTCTTTTCTCTTCGTTTTGATATATTGTGCGTCCAAATCAGACATCCCAGTCAAAAGTTATGTCACTTTGAACATCTGCCGCCCTTTTGTACTGGTGCATGCATAAATTCATTCATTCTAGGGGGCATTAGATATTCGTAAGATAATGGCGAAAGAGGCCCCGAGCACGCTTGTAATCTTCCATAAGGAAGAGACAAGTTTGTTAAGGTATATGGTGACCTTTATGGGGAAAGAACCATTCTACTGAAGTGGGTATGGCACTCCGTAAAGTGTAAGCTTTAAGGATGATGTCAAAGCCATTGTCTTAAGGCATATCTATCCCACACCAATCATTCATTTTTAAAAAAACCCTAATTCATATGCATTCTAGAAAGTGGTTGGTCTTCTTCCTGTCCTCACTTGCGCGTAGAAAGCCGAGACGATGGAGCAGCTAGAAGAGCAAAATCGTGAGCTCACCTTTGAGCTTAACGCCATAAAGGAGCAAATGGCTCAGTTAATGGAGCACATAGAAGAACAGGACTGTAAGCTCACCGCTGAGCTTAATTCCATGAAGGAGCAAATGATGTGGTTAATGGAACTAATGTCCCATCAACATGTCCACCATAAAGGCATCCACATCGACCGCGTAGGCGAAAGGATGGAGCAAGGACTGAAGAGCAGAAGGATCACTCAACTTCCTGCTCCCAATGCATCATTCAAGAAGTTTCTTAGCAAGAAGGAGAAGAGAAGCGTGAATGCCATCAACTTTACTACTCCTTCTACCTCTACGCAACAAGCTAGGCAGCCACGAAAGCAAAGAAAAGAGTTCACCCCCATTCCAACCTCCTATGGGAGTCTGCTGCCGAAGCTGTTAGAGACCCAGCTCCTAGCACGCATCCCTCTGAGGAAGATTGATCCACCCTACCTTGAGTGGTATAAGCCTAACGAAAAATGCGCTTACCACTCAGGCGCTCCTGGGCATTCTGTGGAAGATTGTCGGGCCTTGAAATACAAGGTCCAAGAGTTGTTGGATGCTGAATGGCTCACTGTCGACTCTGTCACTCCTAACATGGATATCAAGCCTCTATCACCGCCAGAATAATGAGGAGGGATAAAGAAAGCCAGCTGAATAGAGCTCTTCA